TTGATCAAACACATACAGGTCGTTCCTCTGGACTGGTGGCCAGTTAGCAGAGATTGTCTCGCCTATGGCGTTACGGTCGCCATTCTGATATGTATCATACACGACGAACGAGTAGAATGGTACGAAGCGTTAACGCTAGTGTTATTGTACATCGTATACATCGCCGTCATGTATTGGGACAAATCGTTTCAGCGATGCACGCGATTCCGTGCGCATAACGCTGATCGATCGTTATCGGATGATCATCGACACGCGACAGGTAAGATGGTCGCGTTTTTTTTATTATTTAAAATGGTCAGAATATGGAACAACGATAACGATCTGAATGTCGCGTTCTTGTTTTTTTTTTTTTAAATTTTAGATCATTTTAACATTATAACTGACCAATTTGTAAAGTTATATTGAGCTTGATCAAGGACTTTTTTCTATTAAAAATTAACAAAATTAGTAACTATGAGTCTGTAAAAGTAAGAAGATACTAAATACGTATATAAATGAATATACATATATATTTACACTTGTCGCTTGAATCTATCGAGGATCATGGATTTGTTTTAATTTGTTTTCACGTGCATATACGAGTGCACACATATTTAAGTTTCCGTGCGACAAGTGCATTTATCATTGAGTATGATTATGTATCGATTTATGTACAACCTACGCAAGCTTGTCCCAGATACTTGTATATTTGTCCGTTTAAAAAGAATTTCAATTTTCATTTCGCTTCTCCTGTCGTTAATGAACGAGAAATAACACAGAGTGCTATCTCTTTAGAAGGCAGCACGGAAATTCACATGGCAAGATCCGATAAAGTACAAACGACCGGCGAACAAGCTGAACATATAGACGTACCATTACAAAATGGAGGAACGAAGACACAGGAAGAGAATCCCGAGCCTAGTAAGTATTGAAATTTCACTGGACAGCATTTACTATGATACTTTCTCTTCAGACGAGAATATTTTAACTCTTTCGAGGCTGACATCGAGACAAGAAAATCTAAAAAAGAAGAAAAGTGAATATTTTCTTGTACGTATGTAATCTGTTTCGATTTACCGCATGGCGGCCATAACTCTCGCAAGAGTTGAAGCGTGAGTAACGTCGAGAAAGGAGAAAAGAGAGAAAAAAAAAAGGACTACTAATTAAAAGAAGGAAGTATCCAGAAGGATCGACATTCTTCCGTGTGTATTTTTATTCTTTCGTCGCCAGCCTCGAAAGAGCTAAAGCGAATAGAATAGTGAAACTGAAAAAGAAAAAAAGGAAAAAGAAAGAGAGAGAGGAAATAAAAGCATCGCATCACTTTTACGTTGTACAGATTACGAGTACGAATTATTGGTTTGGCCGGCACGAGCTGGATGGATAAGAAAAACAGCGTGGATTTTGACCTGGCCGATTCATTTGATCTTCATGTGTACCATTCCGGACTGCGAGAAGCCACGATTCAAAAATTGGTTTCCAATAACGTTCCTTATGTGCATCATTTGGATTGGATCGTTGAGCTACGTGGTCGCATGGATGATCACTATAATTGGTAAATGAAAACGAGCCGAAAAGAAAAGAAAAAAAGTGTCAATCCTACGAGATTAAAAAACGAACAAAAGGAATCAGATGATTATATATTTCTCGTTTCAGGGGACACTTTGAAGATACCAGATTCCGTGATGGGTATTACTTTTCTGGCTGCTGGCACCAGCGTTCCAGAGGCCGTATCAAGCGTAATAGTGGCGAAGCAAGGTAAGCTTGATAAAAGCTTGAATATGAAAAATTAGTTGGATAATATCGTACGTTTATCTAGCGAGAGATTAATTAAAAAGTTCGAAAGCCCATCACTGTTCAACCAGTAGAACATCACCACCGATATAATATTCCAACGATTATTTTAATTTTATTTCAACTTTAATTTAACTCAATTTATTTCTATTTCTTTAATTTACGAGGAAAACACACGAATACAAAACTGGTACGTACCAAAAATGGTACGTGAAGAGCTCGTTTTCGAAGTTGGATGTAAAAACGTAGAGAAGACACACAGACGAAAAAGTAGAATAGTTTTTAAACTAAACTTGCCATTCGTTTATGGGTTTTACTTTGGAGTTTATTACACTTTGTATAATGAATGTATAAAATATCGACAAAAGTACACGAAACACTAAATGCTAAAATTCCATGTCCATCAACTGAACAGTTTGACGATAAAAAAGCGTTCTACAAGCCTTTGAAGTTGAAACGAGCTCTTCAAAACTGACAAATTGGCCAGTTTCTATTTTGAATCTCTCTCGATTGATTTATTTCACGTCAGGACACGGCTCGATGGGTATTAGCAACTCGATAGGATCAAACACTTTCGACATACTGCTGTGCTTGGGCCTGCCGTGGCTAATCAAATCATCGTTCTCGCCGACGCAACCAGGGAAACATTACATCAGTATAAATTCCGGTGGACTCGAGTACAGTGCCATATCGCTGCTGTCGACACTGATGTTGCTCTACATTGCTTTCGCTTCGAACAAGTTTCAGCTCGATAGAAAAGTTGGCCGAGCCTGTTTATGTATGTACGCCGTATTTCTGATACTAGCCTCGTTGATAGAATTAAACGTATTCTTCAGGGTGAATTTGCCCACGTGCCAGAGGACGGTCAAGTGATCGGAAATCGAAAGTAGAGTTGCTTAACGATATTCGATATACGGTGTGTGTTTGATACCCTGGTCCTCGTACGTTCTCCCGAGCGTACGAAAAAAAGAAAAAAAAAAAAAAGAAAAAAGAAAAAAACATTGTGAACGGAAGAATGCTGTTTTACATCATACGAAACTGTTTCTTCTCTACCGTTTTCTCGTTCCTCCACGAGTACGTTCTTCACCCCGAGGCTCCGTTATCTCATTCGCAACTCGTCGTCAACTACATACTAAAACTTACAGCTTAATCGTCATCTTGTTTCCTCTCCTTTCCTCTCGCTCTCCCCAGCCCCTTTCTTCTCTTTTTTTGTATGTCTGTGTTTGCCCCTCACACCAGGATCACCATATACTCGACTATTTCCCGACGAAATCAATTTTATCGCGTCCATCTCTCCAAACTCTTTCTCTCGCGCTATCGTCTAGTTAATTACCGCTTACAACGCGAACAACGTCTAATCTCTAACCTGATTTAGGTGTAAATGAAAAAAAGTAAACGGGACAACAACGGCAAAAAGAAAAAGAAGAAAAAAAAAGACAAGGAAATTTCGTCCTCTGGTATTAAAAAAAAGAAGAAAAAGAAAAACGATGAGAAAAAAGTTTGTCGTTCGTGCGAGTGAATGTTCTGCGAATGTTGAAGCGAACAAGACGAAGAGTGTTGGTAACAATGGCTACATGGATTCGGAACACACGAAACATGATAATAACGCGGTAAAAAGTATTGAATTATAAAGAAAAGCGAAAGAAATTGGTAACGAACGAAGACTAAGAAGCCAGGTGAAAGTACCTAGTGCGTGTGACGAAAACGTGTGTGTGTGTATATATATATATACATATGTATATATATGTATATATGTATATATATATATATATAGTATGCATGTATGTATCTATGTATGCGTGTATGTATGTATGTACGTGTGTATGTATGTTTGGACGTATGCATGTATGTATATATATATATATATATATATATATATACATATAATATATGTATATACAATGGTACGATAGCGTAGAAAAGACTGCCGCTTTTACAAACGTTTCATTTCGAGAGATACAGCACATACATGAAATACGAATATGAATACGTATAGATATTGGGTAGCAAGGTATGATTCAGTGAAGCTTCGATAATCGATTATCGTTGCGGAACGAACCATGATGATTGATTATCGCGTGGCCGAGGAAGTTACGAAAGTTTCGATAATTGCGCGCCGAAATTCGACATGGCGCGGCTGAATTCGACGAAATACATTGAAATACATGTACTGAAATTCGCCGCAGGGTGTATATTTAAGTAATCTAAGAACTTAACGTGTTTAATAAAGTACTGTAATAAGTTATTAAAACGTGATCGTTGCTAATTTCTCGATTCCCGACGATATCGCGACGCGAAAGAAGAAAAGGAGAAACCGGCGTATTCGCTCGATATCGCCGATTTCGCCGAACGATTCGAACTGGCGCATCGATAATTGACAAGTGACAACATAGCGGCGTTACTCGCCGCGGTGTCTAACGACGTGTGTTCGTGTGCTGGCAATTGTAATCAATGTTTCCGAGACCTTTGGCACGATTTCAACGAAGGAGTCGATCTGCGAATCCGAGAAGAGCACACGACCGTCACGCGGCGCAGATTCGTTTCAGCGAGGAGCAGTAACACGTCGGGACAACACGTAGCAGACAATTTTGACAGGTAAGTCGAACGATAGAAAGATCGAAAGATTGCTTTGCGCTTTCTCTCCCCCAACATCCCTCTCTTCTTCGCTCTCGTTTCTGTTTTTTTTTTTCTCGCGAGCTTCGCGAGTCATCGATCGTATCGAGTCCAGATGACAGCTTCGCGTGCCGAAAATTCCAGAGAATGCAGGTGAATTCCGTGCTGCGGAAGCTTTCGGCTCGAGCCGTGTGTCTTTCGCAGAGAGCGGCGCACGCACGCACGCGTGCACCGAACTCGAAAGACGTGAAAAAGAGAAAGTAGTGAAACGCAAGAAGTGTGGATGAACACAGTGGATGGATGGCTGCCGTGTTGGATGGCAGTAGGTCGAGCGCGTATTAGGTCGGTAGGTCGAACAACGTGGGCGACCATAAACGGTTCAGGAAGGGGTCAGCTGCACGTCACCACGCGCCGGATCTGCAATGCGGCGTTGTCGCAGGGACAGATACACTTTCCACCGATGAATTCCTCCGTCTGATACGACCAGACAACTCGATCGCTGCTCGTGCATTTTACGCATCGCTCCCACTCGTTTACTTCACGTTCACTCTATATACATACATGCATACATACACGTACCTAAGTTCCGAATATGTTTCGCTTAGTCAGTCCATCGAGTTTGCTCGTTCTGTAATGAAAAGTAAAGGGGAACAGACGAGATCGTAGCCGGTGCGTCTGACAGCAAGGATTTAAACTTTGAACGTGTTCGAATAGACGGAAGGAAAAAGGCGCAGAGAGAGGGAAGGACGACGAATCAATCGCGGTTTCCGGGTGAAATTAAGGAGAGAGAGAGAGAGAGAGAG